ATTTAAGTGAAAGGAAAAGAAAAAAGATGTGTGTGTCTGTGTGGGTTTGTGAATGTGCACTAGCCATATGAATGAAATACATTCTACTATTAATGTGGATATTTTGTCTAGTAAAGCTTCTGTTTGCTCATAGTTTTTCGTTTCTAATCATTTTTGCAAAAGCCTTTTACATTCAAGGTATGTTTTACCATATATATTTAGGTATTTGTTAATACTTTTATAAAGATACGCCGAACGGGCAATATACTGCATGGTAGCAAAAGTAGTGTTTGATTTCGGGTTATCTATTATTATCTGCCTTCTTTTTCTAGCCTTAACTGGATCATATATAATAGTTTTATGCTTTTTGAGGATGGTTTCTGATATAAGTATATAATATAGTTTCCTAAGTGAAAGGAGTCGACTACTTTGGTATAGTTTCTCAGTCGAGAATCTTTGCTCTTTGAAAAACATAACCTTTATGAGGCTGCGCTGAGCTCGTTAGAGCTCAAGGAAGCGTGTTTTAACAGCTCCACCCCATATAGGTATGCAGTATATAAGTTTTGACTTTACTAGAGATATATAAATATCCCTGAGAAGACTTCTATTCATATCTCCTGCTTTGTATCTGCTCTTGGCATTACATACCTCAATGTCATGAAAATCCATGTAAGTTTTCTTATTCTTTGCGTGACGTGTTCAAGATGTGTGTACCAAGACAACTTTTGGTCTAATAATACACCCAAGTATTTTACTTCTTCTACTTTATGCATAGTCGGACAATGGCAATTTTGCCTATCTGTTGTACTCTTACATTTATGTATCTTTAGCTCAAAATGGTCAAGTTGATTGTTGTTGTTAATGCTAAAACAAACATAACTACTTTTAGCAGTGTTTAATGTAAGAAGATTACTTCTTCTGCGTTTTCTTTAACCTTCTTCCAGGAATTCCCAGTAAAAATAACGGCAGTGTCATCTGCGTAGGAGAATATCTTAGCGTTCTTGATTATCATGTTACACAGATCATTTAAATATATTAAGAAAAGTGTGGGTCCAAGAACACCGAATGTCACGTTTGTGCTCTCACTGATATTATCTCCCAATATGACTATCTGCTTCCTATCTGTCAAATAGTCAATAAACGGACGAAGTGGGGCTCCTCTGATACCAATCCGTTCCAATTTGTGTATAAGGATAGGAAGAGATACAGTATCAAACGCCTTTTGCAAATCTAAGAATGCGGTCATATATTTATAATGGTTATCCACTTCTTTAACTACCAGCGAAGTTAGTGTACAAACCGCGTCTTCGGTTGATGTTCCTTGTCTAAATCCAAACTGTGAAGTAGATAGTATATCATATCTGTTTAAATACGAGATTATTCTAGAGTTTAATAGCTTTTCGAAAATTTTGGCGTACGCTGATAATACAGATATAGGCCTGTAGTTGTTCACATCGTCTTTATCGCCAGTCTTGTAAATAGGGGTGATAATAGATTGCTTTAAGGGAGCAGGAAATATACCTTTTTCAAAGCAAAAATTCGCGAGATGGGTAACGATGGGAATGATCTCAGTATTCGCATATTTTAGAAAAGTAGTTGCGATATTATCCCATCCCGGGGCACTTGCTGACTTAAGGTTCATCAAGATACTATTTACTTCATCATGATTAGCGTGTATAAGACCGAAGGAATTCGGCTGAGATGGTAAGTTATGTAGGTAGGTATTCATGTCATTTACTTTAGGATTTACTTGTTCAGCAAGCTGTTTACCTATATTAGCAAAGTAGTTATTTACGGAATTCGCAAATGCACTATAGTTCTTATTAAAGCGAAGTAACTCTTTATTCAAGTTATTATTAGTTTTATTAGTATATGCGATATTTTTTATATTTTTTCCACAATTGTTTGTTTTTTTTACTGATTTAGCAAGTAAGTCTCTCTCATAATTCCTTTTTAATTTTTTAAGAAGGTTGTTACAATAGTTCCTATGTATCGTCGGTAAATTACTAAGTTTATATCATTAGAAGGGTCACTTCGCGCCTTTTCTTGTAACTTATTACGGTTTCTTATGCATCGTAAAATACCGGGTGTTATCCACGGTTTCAAAATACGATAGTCTTTAGGTATATTTGTTACTATCATGTGTTTTGTCAAGGAGTCTGTTATTTCATTTATTAATTTTTGGGTTACCAACGTAGGATCATCACATAATAATAACTCTTCTATGTTTTTAGTTTTAAGGTGATTTAAAGCTTTGTCGAAGTCAATAGAAGTTTTTATTTTTATTGTCTGATGCTTAGGTTTAATCTTAGATAGATGATGATAAATTACACTGAGGTAAAGTTTTTGTTTCATTTCACATCACATCATTTAATTGAGAAGTTAGTTTTTAATAAAAGTTTATCCGTTTTTAGAGTATTATATTAATACACAAAACAATTCGTCAGTGGTTTTTCTCTTTAATTTTTTGCACATTTTTAAGTTTTTTTTTAATTTATCTACTTTTATGAATATCTGTGGTTTGGTTTATTTATTTTTAATCTTATTAATATAAAATATAACTGATAGTATAGAAAGAAACCTTAATCTTTACATTTTCCGAACAAATTAACTTACCCGCTATGAAATCTGTCAAATAAACTGTGTATTGAATTTACTTGTTTGTGATATTATAGATACATTTTTTTTATTCTGCTTATTTTTGGCTAACTTGTATAAATAATTTTATAACATTTTCGCAGATGGCTAGTGTTGGCAAAATGTTTTGGCAGAATTCCAAAGCCTACACAAATTTAATTCAAATTATGTAACGGATAGATAACCTGAATAAAAAGGTAGAATATAAATAAAATGAACTGTATGCACAATCTTTATTTAACGTTGTTATAATATATGAAATTTAAGTACAGCCACCGAGGTGTAGCAGTTCAGAGCCTGATCGCTCGCTTTAATGTGTATTAGGGATCTAAGTAGGGTGTTAGGTTCACACTAACACACTACTTAGGTCCCTGTCGTCACAATTGGAATTGTTAACTGCAATTTGCTATACGTGGTAGAGTCACTCCGCAGCTGTATCATGGCTGCAGTAAGAATCAGCCAGGGAAGGACAAGTTACACGTGTACATTGGCCTGCCACATAAATTGCCTCATAGCAGGAGATTTGCCATATTGCCACACTTGGCTGGCGGGTTGGCAACCACAGTATTTTTTCTCACAAAATTCCAAATTAAAATAACAGCATAATGTGTTATCTTACGTTACATATTTCATAACTTACAAACTACATAACATTTTGACTGGTAACAATCCATTGGAATACTTCGTTACCAGGCAAAAGGCCAAGTCCTAATGTGTTGTCATCATTAAGGACCTAAGCCGTTAAACATTTTTAGATATATAAGATCACCTAAGGTTTATTTCAAAAAAAAATGTAATTATTAATTATTAATATTTTTATTTCAATTACCTTTTTTAAAGGTCCAGGTCCATGGACCATGTGACTAAAAAGATGTCTTTTCTGCTCGTGCTGATATAGCATAGCATTATTCTCTTGATTTATTGTTATAATTAGTGATGAGGTATGGCATGCGACACTTTTTCATTCGTAATGACGGAAAAGACACTACTGTATTGTTTTTACCTATATAACTAGCTGTTCCCCGCGACTTCACCCGCGTGTAATTTGGATTTCATGTATTTTTTTTTTTGCGTGAACCCTTATTCTTTTTCCTGAAATAAATAACTTATATAATAAATAAAGAAACGACTACCGTACTTTCTCAATAGTATGCTTGAGGATATTCGACGTGAACCAGTAAAAAACATATATAAAAACAAATTAAAGAAATACTTATTGGCAAGTCTTAGTGCTTAACATTAATATTATTATGTAAATGAGACTCAAATGTTCCTGCAAACAAACTGTTTTGCGGAAATATGTATATTAAAAATACAAAGTTTAATTTTTAATATACATATTTCCGCAACATTGCTTACACAGGAACATTTGAGTACAACTAAATCTCTACTAGATCTGTTAATATCGCCAACTTATTTTTTTTAAAGTTAGAAATGCATCCACAAAGTTAAGAGAAATTTATTTCATAATCTTTTAATCGTAATAAAATAATCAAATTTATATGGGGCCACATGAGAAGCAACAGCTTTCAAATAACAAAAAAAATCATCGAAATCGGTTCACCCAAAAAAAGTTTTGAGGAAGACATAAAAAACATACAGTCGAATTGAGTACCCCCTCCTTTTTGATGTGGGTAGAAAACATTTCACCTTACAAAATAGAATATACCGTAATTTTATTTTATTTATTGGCCCTGCGCAAGTTCACCGCTCAAATTGGCACACGGTCCTGAGCCACATACATCTGTAAGTATAATAATGGACGCACAATGTAACACATTTTCTTTTGTTACAGATACTTCAGTCAATCTTTACCTGGAAGCTCGCCGTCATGTCTGACATAGTATAAAGAGAAAATATAACAACCATCTGCGTCTCATTAAGCCATGTCGTATATTTAACTAGCATAGACCTACGAAAACCCAGTCATATGCACAGGGAGGCAACAAACGTCTTCAGGGATTCGCTAAAATTACGTCAAAAATTACTACAGAGAATAACCACGTACTTTAAAGTCGTCGAATTCGTTAAGAAAGACGCTATACGATACTTCACATATGATTACGAAATTCACCAAACATAATATTACAATATTATGAACATATTCATAGGTAACGATTACCATTCCAAGAATCTCGTAAAGCTGAAATCGGCTATTTGATTTTACGAACACGATCTCTAAAATAGTTCTGGATTATAAGGTCAAACGGACAATAATATCGAAAATCCTTTTTTAAGTAGAACTAAAACATCGCTCAGACTTTATTTATAGAAAATTCTATCATTTTTTTAGCGAAAATAATAGTAATTTATAACTTCAATCTAAAGTTATAAGCGATAAAACTTGCGGTACTGAATCTGAAGTTACTTAACTCCAACACAAGATGGCGGCTAAAGCTGAGCCAATTGGTCCACGAAATGGCCACGAATTGGCGCCACTCAATACAAGATCTGATGGAAGTGAGCGACCTCATGGGGTCACAATAGTACTTCAAGGATCGAGGGGATCTCTACAGCGAGAAATTCCTGGTGAAGACCGAGCTGCTTGGTCCGGAAAACTGCAGTTTTTCCTGTCTATCATCGGTTACTCAGTCGGCCTGGGAAACATTTGGCGATTTCCATACCTTTGTCAACAAAATGGCGGAGGTAAGATATCTTTTTATTATATATTTTTTATAAAAATGTTCTACTTTTTCGATGGTAAAGAAGTCAGCAACATCGCTGTCAGTGATCGACTGAACGACATTATATTTGAATAATGTATTTATTTTGAAGAAGGATGATTCACAGTTATAGTACTCGTAGGATCCGATAGGTAGCGTTGTAGTCAAGTAATAAACGAATTCTATATTAATGAACCAAAATAAAAGAAAAAGCAAATTGCTCGAAGAGGGGAGGGTCAAGAGTACTCGGATACCTAGACGTGCATGTATGAAGAAGATAATGAATCTGAAAGAAGCGAAAGAGGTATGTAAGGATCGTGACACTTGGCGATCTGTTCTCTCTGGCTACCCCGTCAGGGATTGTGCGTGAAGATAAGTAAGAAAAACTATTGATGTACGCTACATGGTTATTTTTATAATATAAGTGTTAAACGAACCTGATCATAGATTAATGATAAGTCATAGCGCGCTCATGACTTATCATTAATCTATGGAACCTGATGTTAAGTAAGGACATCTGCTAACCTTTCAAACAAAGAAGGCCACAAATGCGTTTTTATGTCTGAGTGCACAGGTGAAATGCCTCATTGCCTGTTATATATTGGCAAAAAAGATCACAAACTATAGACCCGATAGACGACGTTATGGTGGAATTATAAATAAATTTTATATTTACTAATTATTATTAAAGCGTTAGCTTAGATCTGCTGATGATTACTCGAAAATAACCTACTTCTGCCCAACAGCACAAGCGATGGACAGTATAAAATAATATGAGGAATATGACAAAACTCGTGATTTAATCGAAGAAACCCTTTTTTATTTGAAGTCACAACTTCTTAAAGTACGTTGGGCAATTTTGGTATGAAGAAAAACCACTGAACTCGCGTGACCGTCACGTTGAGATACATTCATACAAAAATAATGTTAACAAGTTTGTGAAGCTAAGAAATTTTCACTTCTGGCGCGCAGTCCTACGACTGACAGTTTTTTTTTTATTACGTATAATAGTATCATACTAAATCTGTTCTAATATTATAATAATGTCCCTCAGACCGCATTTCGGTCACGGTGGCCAGTCTGAACGGGGTCTACCCAATCTGCACAGGACAGGATTATAGTGCCCGATTGTTTGGGCAAGCACAAGTGCACTCTTTATTTTCCCGCACTCACATAGTCCCACGGGAAGGTCATCCGACGCGAACGAAGAGAGATCAGGTGCAGGGCCAACAGAAAAGTGAAACACCACTAACTTCCTGACTCCAGGCTGAGGATTTTATGACTAAAAAACTAGGGTCGAGACAGCTAGATTAGTTTGTTTCAGTTACTTCCATAGCATAATATTCTATGGGGAAATGAGAATGATTCAGAAACTATTTTTGTTTTACAGAAGAAGGCCATTAGAGATATTTACAACCTAAAGCCGAGAGAGTCCCTTAGAGATAAATTTAAAGAAATAAATATATTAAATTTGACCTCTCAGTATATTTCGGAAAATTTAATGTATGTTCACAAAAACAAAGGTCGTTTTAGTATAAAAGAGATATACACCCTGTAAACACTAGGAACAAACACAAGCTAGTGATGCCAGTTTCTCGACTCCACAGGTAATGTATACGCTATTACAACAAGGTCCCGGAAAATGTACAGGCTCCTCTCTATTGCCAAGTTTAAATATTTAATTAAACAAAAACTGTATAAAAAGGGTTATTATAATATAAATGAATACATGGTTGATAATAACCCCTGGGAATGAGCTGGTCGCTTCCAAACCGTTTCCAAAATATATTTTGTAAATAGTTTGTACAACCATTAATGCACAATTTACTTTAATAAAAAAGTCCCGCTGGGTTTCTTGCTAGTTCTTCCCAGGACAGAAGTTCTTTTAGAAGCAGTGGTAAAGTAAAAAATTACTTTCAATAAAAATTACACATGTCTATATTGAATAAAAAATTATTCTATTCTATTCTATTCGAACCCAATGAGACAGTCTTACTTAAAACTAATATTTTTGTAATTTCGATAAACACTTGTACTTGTTTCAGTATAATTACGAGTATTATCACGGTTGCCGTGAGGCGAAACCGGTCGGTTTTTATAATTACTAATTATATTATCTTTATATATAAAAATCAAATGCTGTCCGTTAGTTTCGTATAAATTCGAAAATGGCTGGAACAATCTTGATGAACATTTTTATGTGTGCTTGAGTGGGTCCCTGGATGATCTAAACGATTCACAATTGGACACAGTAGGTGGCGCTGTTGTCGAGATACAGAAATCAACCATGCAAAGTAGGGGCGGATCGCTAGTTTAAAATAAATATTGTGAAATAAGTACAAATGTTTATCCAAATCACAAAAATGAAGCTGCAGTTTCACCAAGTGACAACAATCTATATAAATTATTATATATTAAGTATAAATTATATATTAAAACTAATGTCAAATATACTAATATCTAACACTTAAATCGTTACCACTTCAACTAAGCTTAAAATGCTTCGGTACAATATTGATTTTGGAACGCAGACTGCAATCTCTTTAAAACGCCCACGATAGACGCAGGGCACTGACGTCACGACAGACCCCACCCCCCTATTCCCCTCGACACCCAATACCGGATCTGCCTCTTTGCTCATCATATTCACTATACTGAATCAGGTTTCGATGTCAAAACTGTTTAATTTGTTTTCTTATGAATCTCAAAATATGCAACCATTTCGAAAAAACACTGTCTCCCAAACGAACCGGCGATAATCGTTTTTGTTATGTGATTTTAAAATGTAGAACAGAAACGTAAATAATATTTCTGCCAATATAACATGTCATTATCATCATCATTATCATCATGTAATAATTGCTGAGTTACACATACTACGAGGGCGACACTGAAAGTTTTTAGAACTGGCCACTTGTAAACGATATAATAAAAAAATAAGTTCAAATTTTGAAAATGGAACTCTGCCAATATTATTGTGTATATATTTTATTAATTTGTCATTTGTTTACGATTCGGCGGCAAACTGAAAATTGTCTGTGTCACGTTAGCATGAATTTGACGCGAGAAATTTTTCGTACAATGATTTTTTATGACTTTCGATGTCATTTAAGTCAACAAGAAAGTTATAATAGACTTCGATTGGCCTTTCACGATGAAGCCCCATCTCGTGCTACTATTTACAACTGATTTAATGAGTTTAAACATGGTCGCACTAATCTCACCGATGATCTGCGCGAGGGACGGCCTTCGACGGCGACGACTGAAGATAACATCAGTGTTATGCGGCGTATGATAGAGACTGACAAAAGAGTGACTTATCAGCAGATTCGAACAAGCTTAGGCATTGGTATGAGTCAAATGTACAAAATCCTCCATGAACATTTAGCGGTCAGGAAGCTTTGTGCCCGGTGGATACTTCATAATTTGACAGAGGCCCAAAATCTCCATCGTATTGATTGGTGTCGTGAAATTGTTCAAAGATTTAACGGTGACGAAAGCTGTAATTATTTTTATAATCCTAAAACTAAGAGACAGTCTGCTGTCTGGGTACTTCCTTCCGAGGAGTTGCCAAGTAAAGTGAAGAGAGGTCGAAGCGTGGGAAAAAAGATAGTGGCCTCGTTTTACGTAAGGAAAGGTCATTGTTTTTCGAAAAAAAGTTACTGCAGAGTGGTACAATAACAATTGCTTGCCACTTGTCTCGGAAAAAGTTCGGGAGAAACGACCTCGCAGTAGAATCCTTCTTCACCACGACCTCGCCTCGTCGCACACCGCCAAGCAAACAATCGACTACTTGGTGACGTCAAACGAGGAATTACTGGGTCATCCGCCCTATAGCCTCAAACTCGCACCTTGCGATTTTTATTTATTTCCGAAAATAAAAGAAAAACTTCGAGGAAAACGTTTTATGGACGCCGAGGAAGCAGTGGCTGCGTTTCAAAATACCGTCGAAGAGACGCCGAAGGACGAATGGGCAAAGTGCTTTTCTCAGTGGTTCCTTTTGTCAGTGGTGGATGTAAATGGACACTATTTAAAAAAATATAATAAAACTAATAACTTGCTAGTTTGTTCAATTTTTGATTTTCTAAGAATTTTCAGTGTCACCCTCGTAATGCACTGCTATACATAAGCCTCTCTCAATAGAATAGAATAGAATAGAATAATTTTTTATTCAATATTGATTATTACATAATTCTTATTGAAAGTAATTTTCTATTTACCACTGGTTCGGAAAATACCTCTGTCCTGGGAAGAACCAGCAAGAAACCCAGCGGGACTTTTTTTTTTTCAAACATATTTCACTTAACAATAATTTCGTTTATACAATTTTAAATGATTTATCATATAACCAGCATGGTGGTGATCACCTTATTCCCAGGGATTATTTTCATTCATGTATTCCTTGATATTATAATAACCCTTTTTGTACAGTCTTTCTTTAATAAAACTTCTAAACTTGTTTATTGACAAACTTTGAATATGTTACGTGGTGGTAGAGATATGCTGCAGCTATATTAATATTATAGTTGTAACAAGAATGGGTCGGCTCGACCGGGGAAGGACCACGCTCTCACAGAATACCAGCGTAAAACAGCAACTTAATGCTGCTGTGTTTCCTATGGTGAGTGTAGAGAACCGGAGACCCATTTTACTGGAAAAGAAGCATCCCATCTTAGTCCTCACGGGTAACAACGCATCTGCATTTAGATTCGCTAACGAAGATAGATGTAGATGTCTATGGGCCACAGCAACCACTTACCATCAGGTGGACTGCGTGCTCGTTTTCCTTATTCTATAAAAAATGTTCTGGGATTTTGTTGTAAAAGCGTATACATTGCCCCATAAATGAATTACTGATTCTGTGGAGTCTAGTAACTGGTATTACAAGCTTATGTTTGTTCCTAGTGTTTAAAGTATCCTTATTCTTATTAAAGGTATTTACGTTTTTATGTACATACATTACATTTTCATAAATATATTGCG